AAAATGTAAACATTGCCGTCAAATTTTCCTTGGCTTTACCCAGATCAACCTCGTAAACATTTTTTTTACCTCTTGGTGCAATGACCTTTCCCAATTTTGGATTATACTGAAAACATGTTTCATCGCCATTAAATACGCGACTTGGGTCCGCCAATATTGAAAACAGATCCTTCTCTTTAAGGTACTTCTCAATATCTCTGAACCATCCTCTTATATTATTTTCGGAAACAACTGAGGAAGCAGATGTAATCCCTTCAGCAGTGCGCTCACTCAGTTGTGGGTGTCGTCTCATGAATAATTTGTACCAGTGTATACCGGGAAAGTTATTCGTAAATGGATTGTCCCTTTCATGATTATCCAGGAATGACTTCACTGCTAGCTGTAGGTCAATCTGTCTTCTTGGAAAACCCTTCCTGTCATTTTCCAATATCCAATTGACAATTTTAGCTTCCTCTTCTTCAGTCAAGTATGTTCTGCGACCTCGTTTTGCTCCAGCTAACTTGTTTTTCAGTCGAAACTGGATAGTGGCTCTAGGTATCCCGTACTTCTGGGCAACTGATTTTTTTGATTCACCAGCCCGGACATCTTTGAGTGCCTGTTGTAGAGTCTCCTCTGAGTAGGTGGCAGATTTTTGCCTGAAAATTTGAAAATTTCTATTAATCCTTGAGATAGAAAGTTTTGTACACCTACCTGGATAGGCGTGCTAATAAAGCGAATATCGTGAAATAACTGAACCAAATCTTGGCATCCCCACATTTTGAGAATTTTACTATTTTTTTCAAAATCAAAATTATTTTAGTTTAGTGAACTAATTAATTGCCTACCAGAAGCATTTAAATAATTTTGTATCATCCAAGTAACGAATAAAGCATCAGCAAACATGAGTCTACAGATTCTAGTCAAAGTAAGCGATATGTATGATTAAATACAGACTGAAATACTTCATACTTACTTTTTTGTACACCATTTCCCTACTTTTCTTTTCATAATCGATTTATCTGTGTGATTGCTCCTATTTCCGTTAGACATTTGGAAAATAAAGCTGAAAGAAAAAGGTGCCAATTATTAGGATGTGATAATCATCAACAACCAAGCCGTCTAGCACACGGTGTCAACATTACGGAAAATCATTATTTTTGTACCAATACTTGGCACATTATTTTTCCGGTATTTATTAAGAGAAAATCCATAAATATATCAAATTTATGTTATGTAAGCGTAAGACAATGTGACAAACATGAAATATTCACTTTTATTTGCCTAGAGTGAAAAATTATGCAGGATGAGATACCTACCTTGTTACAAATTTTACTATTTTCAAGCGACACTGATGATGCGCGTCTGGTCGGAACCATATATCACACACAACTGATCCGTCACAATGTAGCCAAATCGTTCGATATTTGTGGAAATTGTTGCCAAACCATAAAAAAGGTGTGAAATCCCCATATATTCAGCAATAACTCGAAAATTCGAAGTAATTCAGAACTAGTGCCAACATTTAGACAGGTGACAACATTTGGGTATCTTACCCTATCTAATGTAGCTTCAAATCTTGTCTATTCCTTATAAAATCGACTTTAAAAATCATGTTTATTTCCAAACCCGTCTTATCCACTTGAGGTGACGTTCCAAATCCAGCCTAATCCGTACTTCTACAGTCGACCAATCAGATTTCGTCACCTCCGACTTGCGAAACCAGAAGTGAGGTTAGCGAATAGGGTAAACGACATCGTGCTCAATGTTTTTATTTTGAACAAATAATTAAACACAACGAATTGTGTGAAGTTGATAAATAATTAAGAATGGATGTACCACAGAACATTGTGGAAGCTACTGTTTATCCACACATCTAGAAAGAGATGTGTGGATGAACAAAACTGGAAAAAAGTTATCAAAACAGTTCAGGTACGTTGTATTAAAATAATTATGTATTTCAGAATAATGTATGCCTTCGATTTTTATAATTATTTATCTTCAGGTATGCTCCTAGAGAACCATCAAGTCTACCCAAGAAATGTGAAAAACATAACTCCAAGGCTTACCAGTGCCGTAATTTGAGCATGCAAGATGTGAGAAAATTTCATCAGGCATTTTATTCATCCAGAAACAAAATTGATCAAGATAACTTTTTTCTGCGTCATACGATCGCTCAAACACCTAAAAAACATCAGAGAGTGGTGAAGAAAAATTTGGAAACTGGACAAGGTGCTACTGAAATGGGGTGGTGACACTCGGAGTAAGGCATACTCTAAGAAATTGGAAGCTGTAAAAAGCTTCAAGTAGTTGACTCGCATTATTGCCAAGGAAAATCATTAAGACAATACCTCCTAAGTGAATTGTCAATTAGAAAATTGTGGAGAATGTACGCTGAAAAAGTTGAACATGGTTTGAATGTTAAGTATCATTATTTTCGGTAAGTTTTTGTGACAAACTATAGGGTAATTCCGGTAGAGATCGACCACCGGGAGAGACCGACCATTACCGATAACTTAACCACAAAGCAATAGACGAATCCGTGACTCACATGTATGATGAGATTAGTTGACTTTGTTAAATCGAACACGTAAACACGGCCGGTAACAGTAATATAAATTTACAAATTAATTTCAAAAGTTTGTGCAAACTTGAAATTTTGTTGACTGATTTACTGTGTTCGCGATATTCTAAAGACAGGTAAGTTTATTTCAATTGTTTCAATACTGGATGATAAAATATGCATGAAACTATAACATAACTCCAAAAATGTAGGCATTTCTCATTTTTCCTTCGGTTAACAAGGTGGTCGGTCTCTCCCGTAACATTGGTAGAATACGACCATATCAATCCGGGAGAGACCGACCATGGAAATAATAATAGTAATAATGAAATATTCTGCGGTCTGAAGGAAATTGGTGATATAATAGAGCTCAATTTAATAAAATAAATTTATTGTAATATAATATTGTTACAGATTAACAAAAATGCCCACGACTTACAAATGGAAAAATGGGGAGAGAGCTAAATGGGTGTAAATAAAGCCGCCAGACAATTTGGAATACCCAAAACAACGCTAAAAGAGAGGATTAAGAAGGAAGATGGAATAAAACAACACAGGTTCAAAAAGTGTTTCTTCGTTAACATCAAGTGAGAAAGGCAAAACAATTTCGGTTATAGTGAGCTGCCATGCAGAGGGAATGTTTCTCCCACCTTACTCGATATTTAAAGGTAAAAATAAAAAAGAGGAGTTTTTAGAAGGAATGCCACCTGGCTACCAAATTTCTATGTCGGAGAAATCGGCGTATATCAACGCTTCCATTTTCAAGGATTGTTTGGAGTTTCATTTTTTGCCAAGAAAACCAGCTGGAAAAGTGTGGCCATACTTCTCATACCAATTCTGTGAAAATACTGGAATTTTGTGAAGCTAATGACATAATGCTACTTTGTTTACCGAGTCACACGACTCATTATCTACAACCGCTGGATAGGTCCTTTTTTAAATCTCTGAAAAACCATTACTACGCGGCTTGTAACAATTTTTTAAAAGCAAATCCAAGTAGGAAAATAACAAGGATACTTTTTGGAATTCTTTTGGGACAAGCCTGAGGCAAATCAGCGACTGTGGAAAATGGGATGTCTGGTTTTAGAGCTACAGGCATTGCACCCTTTTACCCAGAAGTTATTCCAAATTACGTTTATATTAATATTCAAATGGACCAAGATGCAGAGACCAGGTCTGGTTCAAATAGTAACACTAAAAATCCATCCTCTACTTCGACTCCGCCCCGGTCCCCTACCGCTCAGAGCACTAATACCCGCATATCTGCCTGGTGGTTCGCACGATCCTGACAGTGCAATAGTTGAGATTTACCCCACACTCAACTCTACACCAGCAAAATTGTTGGAGAACGTGATTTCGCCAATTCCAAAAACTAGCGCAAAAAAGGATAAAAAGAATACAAAGAAAAAAACAAATGTCCAATTCAGAAAAAAAATGTAGTTAAACAGAAAAAACTATTAGAATATTTAGATTCGGAGAGCGAAAGTTCAGAATTGCAGGAAAGTGATACATCAGCAGATGAATGGGACTATTACTAATGTGTAGGATGTGGGGAAACCAATAAGAACGACGAATGGCTCAAATGTGTGAACTGTAGTCGTTGGTTCTATAATGGGTGCTCAAAATTCGGGAATATTTGCGATATATGCGGAAAAATTAAAAAGAAAAGTCGAAAAAATTAAATTTATTTATACGCTCTAATTCTACGTTTATTATTATACTGTTCTAACATTTTATGTTTTTTATTTTTCGAAGTCGATCTCACCCGTAGTTGGTGGTCGGTCTAACCCGGACATCCGGGTGAGATCGACCAGTTACAATGTTTAAACTTTTAGTTCAAAATAAACATTTGTGGTTGTATTATATCTGAAATTGTAATTTATTTACTATCCTAACCCTTTAGGTAATGCTTCCACAGTTAAAAAAATATGTACCTCAGAAGCCAAAAAATTTACAAAATTTTTTCCAAAATGTGGTCGATCTCTCCCGGACTTACCCTACTATTGGTTTTGGATTGCCCGCTACTGATGCTTGCTCTAAGTGCATAGAACTTAAAAAATGTACTCGTATTAAGAGAGTCCGTTGATCAAAGGAAACAAGTACGTTGATTGCTCAAGAGCTCATAAACTTAAGGCTAAGTCATTTTCTGAATTATTGAAAACAGAGGAAGAAAACGTAATTAAAATGCCATTTGATTGCCAGAAAAATATGGTTTTACCACGAGTACCCGATCAAGCCGCTTATTATAGTCGGCAACTTTACAATATGCCAAGGACATTCTGGAGCGTCTCAATATAAAGATACAGTTTTTATCTATACATGGCTGAAGAGTGAATATGCCAAGGGCTCAAACCAAATTGCTTCAGCCGTATTTCATCGTCTCTGCAACACGAACATGGAATCATATGACACCATTAAACTTTTTGCAGATGGTTGTGGAGGCCAAAATAAAAATTGTACAATGGTGCTTTCCAGCTGGCTAAAATCCAAAGCTCCACCAAATGTCAAACAAATCCATTTAATATTTCCTGTGCCAGGGCACTCGTACATACCCCCTGATCGAGTGTTTGGTCGCATAGCAAAAGTTGTTAAAAAAACGCACACTATTGTTAAACCAGACGGATACGAAAATATTTTATCAGAATTTGTGTCAGTGTTCCGCTTGGGAATTTCTGTTGAAGTTGCAGATTGGAAAACAGAGATATCCAATGTTACTAAGGCACCAGCTCAATGGCACTTCAAGTTTGCCCCATGTAAACGTATTCTAATTAAAAAAAATCCGACTGGATCAATAGATATTCAAGGTGAAGCAAGTTATCGAAGCGATCTGGGATCATTTAAATCGATCCTCAAAAGAAGAAAGACTCTGAACAATATCTGCCCTGAAATAATCCCGAAAGGTCAAAATATAAATATTTTAAAGCTGAATGATTGCGACAAACTCCTTATGAAGCATTTTAGAGAAACTTGGAGAGACTTACCCGGTCTTCAGTTCTATATAAATGTCATCGACAGTAATAATAATATTCACAACCCATCTGAGAGAGAGGAAGAACAGTGCGAAGATGAGTATTTAGATTTAAGAGTTTAGATAATTTGTATTATAATAATATAAATGAACAAAAATAATTTCTTTCCAATGTAAATACAAGTAAGTTTCTTGTTTATTTCCTTATACCGTCTACTCCATGTTGTATTTCCAAAAGCCACCTTATCCAAACTTCAATATTTTTTTACATGTGGAATCATAAACTAAAATAGGTTTGGGTCATTTTATTTACTTCTAGTTAATCATTGACAAAGTATAACATTACGTTTCACCCTCTCAGTATTTATTGAAAGCTCATTTTCGTGAATTATGGAATATTATGTTTGATGGATAAGGCGCTGTCTGGAAATACACGCATCATATGGCGTATACTTCGACAGTGTACAGTGAATATAATTATTTCTTATCTCTCGCATTTTTGAAATTCAGCAAATTTGTATATTTAATTCCCAGAATGGATAAGAAAAAGTGGCTGCGCCACTAATTTCTAGCTTTGGAACTCAATTAAGTGTATTTGAGAAAAGAATCCAATGGAATTATCATCAATCCATACAACTTACAGCTTAGACCTCCAATAATGCCATCTCTGAAGCAGATTTTACATCATATCAGAGCCAGACATTGATAACTGGAGCCTCGTGACGTTTAGGCAATACGTACAACTAAGTGTTAAGTTAACATCTTGCAGAAAAACTTAAATAATGTCAAAAAACAGTATAATGTCAAAAAATCGCTATAACGTTACTTTTCAAGATATATTATTCCCGTGCCGGTTTCAATAAGTGGTCGAGTTTTCCTATTCTGCCTGGTCAGAGCCTAGATCACCAACGACTTGATCTGACACAAACAGATCTCGTCAGTCGCGGCAGCTGTTGGAAAAAAGCTAGGATATTTGCTTAGAGCTTAAGACCTTCTCACTCACGTGTTGGATTGCATGATTCTCGTTTGATGGTGCTCAGAGGAGGGCGATCCGACTTATCGATGACTGTTAGAGCCCTCCTCCATGATGTCGTCATTTGTCTGTAGAGTTTCTAAATCGTAAAACAATTTGCCTGAAGAGGCTTTTTCCAGTCTACTAATCTTAGGCACCTGAAAAATCAGGTTAACATTCTTAAGCTCCTCATAGTGGCCGCGGTTTCCCGGTACTTAGGCTTCCATCTACGTGGCCGCTTCGGGATAAAAAATAAACTATTAATCGCATTCGGAAATTTTAAACACTTTCTGGAGCCCACTGTGTCTTTTAGTCTTTGGCTGTAAGTGCATTAATCTGTCCGATGAGACAAAACTAAAACACGTATGTTTTTGAGTTCACACAAATAAACGTTTGCATATACAGAGTGTCTCACAACTAATCCGATCAATTTTGAACTCATATGCATTGTTAGGAAAGAAGCTGATTTCTCAAACAATAAACAGGTAATAAAAGTCCTACAGAAATTAAGTTATAAACCTGAGTTTCAATAATAAATTGAAAAATAAATATCTGTATTATGCGTTCATCGTCGTGATATTAGAACATGCATTAATAATTTACTGTAGCAAATGTTGTACCTACCAAGAACGTGTAAATAAGGTTTAATCTATATCGTGGGTGATCTGAATGAAGAACGGTCGATTTTTGCGAAGTTTAATAAGAACGTATTTATCGAGTTTATGGTTTTAGTTATTTATTAATAAAAGTGGCACTAATGAGGAGTTAGTGGACATTGTTTTAGCGTACGGAGAAGCAGGGCAAAATTCGCCAGCGGCTTCTCGCTTACCACATCACAACAATTGTTTTACGTGCACGTGCTAGTAGGGATTTGCGCCCTAGACGTGGAGTGGATGGGGGTCGGGTTAGCCCATCACGCGCTTTAAATGCCGAAGACAGAATTTTGGATATTGTGGAAGAACATCCGGGAATAAGCATAATGCAGCTAGCCCAACAGGTCTCAGAAGTGTCTCATGCAACAGCGTGGCACATATTACATGAGGCCCAACTGTACCCTTATCACAAACTGTATTATTTTATTATCTCGATTTCTGTAGGACTTTTATTACATTCTCTTTCTTTGAGAAATCGACTTCTTTCGTAACAGTGGATATGTGGTTAAATTTTGTCGTATAAATTGTGAAACACCCTGTATGTATATGTGAGAGAGATGAGTATATGAAAGTGGTTCCTGTAGTTTTACGGTGACACGCTAAAAACCGTAGAAAGACGTACGAGCCTTTTCCCACTTCAGTTGGCCCGACCATTGAAATCTTAGTTTTCTCCTTATCAAACACAAATAATATAAATGTAGCAGGGTGTTATAGGTTTAAAATATTAGCAATGAATATTTTGATAATATATAGTAGAAAACTCCAACTTTATCACTCCCTAATCAAATTTGCAGTATAAAAATAACACATGTTGCAATTACAGCATATCAACCTATTTTCATTTCAATGCAAGATAAGTCTATAACGCATAAGTGGCTGTGAAAAATAGAAGCCATGACAATTCTTTTTATTAATCACAGCTGTCAGAATACATTTAAAATAGTTTTGGGTAGTTAAGGTTTTCAAAATGGGTAGAGGAAATATTATTAGTGAGAAACTTCGGTTAGGGTATTATCGGGAACAGTGGCTCAGTCGGGTACAGTGGCTCCATTCAATATCTCCAAAACGAGAGAGACTATCTATCTGTCGCAGTCATCTACATCAAGTGTTTACGACACAAATGCGCATGAACCAGTCGGTCAGCAACTAAAGCACTGATAGCACGCGTCTCGCCTTTGTGTTGGTTTTCAGGTACCCAAGATTACATTTCCAGGTAAGTTTGACTTTAAAATTCTAGCTTAACTGCTGTAGTTTATTATTTATTTATATTTTGTAGTAAAGTAAGTAGAAGCAAGATAATTTTAACTTTGCTTAGAACAGCCAGTGCAACGTGAATATGGCACAGAAGACATATATTTCAAAATGGCGTCACGGTCGACAGTGGCTCAGCACGTGGAAGTACACAGTGGTTCACGAGCCACTGTGTACTATTAGTGAACCATTGTGTACCGCTTACTTGAATATTTGTTTCAGAATGCCTCGCAAGAAACGGGCAATGAGAAAAATTGGCAACAGCTCCGCTGCAGACGTTAAAGCTGGGGTACTATTAATGTCTATCAGAAAAGCAGCTACGAGTTGTGGTGTGCCATTTACTACCCTGAAGAGGTATTATTGGAAAACTGCTGGTTCCGAAAATCTCGATGAGGAGCGATTCGAGCCGAATTATTCTGTGAACCAGATCTTTACCGCATCCCAAGAAGAGAAGTTGAAGGAATATTTTTCGCATTGCGCTCTTCTGTTTTACGGATTAACTGCAAGAGAATGTCGTCAAGTGGCGTATCAATGTGCTAAGATAAATAATATAAAGATGCCTAAATCTTGGACAGGCAATGAAATGGCGGGTAAGGACTGGTTAACTTTGTTCAAACGTAGGAACAGGTTTTCTTCCAGGAGACCAGAACCTTGTAGCCTAGCAAGAGCTACAGCCTTCAACCGAAACAACGTCAATAATTTTTACAATAATTTAGAAGATCTGATCAAGAGAAACTCGGCTTTTGCAAATGGTACCCGTATATTTAATCTGGATGAAACATCAACGACAACAGTGCAAAAGCCTCAAAAAGTAATAGCACCATTAGGCAGAAACTGCATTGGAAAAGTCACAAGTGGTAAGAGAGGAACTTTGGTAACCACATGCTGCATTGTAAGTGCCAGCGGCAACGCTTTGCCACCAGTTATGATATTTCCTAGGAAACAATTCAAAGATCATATGATCAAAAACACCTGCAGGAACACTCGGCTTAGCAACGCCTAGTGGATGGATGAACGCGGATAGTTTCACAGAAGTAATGAAACATTTTATCAAGCATACGAACTCTTGCAAAGAAAATCCTAGTATGTTGGTAATGGATAACCACGAGTCACATTTGAGCATTGAAGCCATACAGTTGGCAAAAGATTGTGGAGTCAATCTCCTCACTATTCATCCCCACACTTCGGGGAAATTACAACCACTTGACGTGGGAGTATTTAGCGCGTTCAAAGTATATTATAATGCTGGCATCGATTCCTGGCTTATGACACATCCTGGAAAGCCTGTTCCCATATATGACTTAGGTGAAATCATTGGGGCAGCCTTTCTTAAAGCAATGACCCCAACAAACATTACCAGGGCTTTTGCAAAATGTGGTATTTACCCATTCGACAGAAACCTTTTTACAGACGAGGACTTTCTGCCAAGTACAGTAACAGATCGTCCAGGTCCCTGTTCAGACTGTTTGCCACGTGAAGAAGGGCTCATAAACGTAAACATCAATTCAATGAATGTCATCGAGTTGGGAGCACCGGAAGAGACCACTACTGCGCACTCATCGGAGCATTCTATTTCACAGACTTGTGCAACATCAGAAAAACCATGCTCACCAACGTTGGGTACTTCGACGACACAACCAAGTCAAATTGAAACCACTGTTGTGTCTATCAACCATCAATCCATTTCTAAAGAAGTGGAAACGAAGAACCTGTCCGATGAAGATTCAATTTTGACAAAAACAAAAGTATCCAATACCGTTTCAGTTCCATCAGGACTCCAGTCATTAAAAATATTAGCTCCTGAAGTGCTCATATCAGCAATTTCTTCGAACAAACTTCCACCCAAGCCATATATAATTACCCCGACACAAGACGTTGCTTTGACACCATCCATTTCTCAATCAGCTGAGAATACTTTTACATCTCCGTTTGACTTTAGAGACCCAATAAAGGCTGGACCTAGAACAACTACCCGCAAGCGAAGGAAACCAGGCCGTAGCATGATTCTTACTGACACACCGGAAAAAGTTCGTCTAGAACAAGAAAAAATAGCTTCTAAAAGTAAAAACACTAATAAGAAGGGAAAAGTCACTCGAAAAGTATTACAAAGTGATGAAGAAGATAATGATCAAGAGAAGGAAACAGTGGAATATGCTGAATCTGATGATGATACAGACTGGGCAGCAGAAGATGAAGACGAAAACTCT